GCCTATTTGCCATTTGTATGTCTTCCTTGGAGAATTGCTTGTTTAGGTCTTCTGCCCATTTTTGGATTGGGTTGTTTGTTTTCTTGTTATTAAGTTGTATGAGCTGTTTATATATTCTGAAATCAAACCTTTGTCAGTTGCATCATTTGCAAATATTTTCTCCCATGCTGTAGGTTGTCTTTTTGTTTTGCTTATGGTTTCCTTTGCTGTACAAAAGCTTGTAAGTTTAGTTAGGTCCCATTTGTTAATTTTTGCTTTTATTTTTGTCAACTGGGTAGACTGACCTAGGAGAACATTGCTAAGATTTATGTCAGAGAATGTTTTGCGTATGTTTTTTTCTAGGAGGTTTATCCTGTCTTGTCTATATTTAAGTCTTTAAGCCATTCTGAGATTGTGTATGGTGTGAGGGAGTGTTCTAACTTTATTGATTTACATGCTGCTATCCAATTTTCCCAACACCACTTGTTGAACAGAGTGTCTTTACTCCATTGTATATTCTTGCTTCCTTTGTTGAAGATTAATTGACTGTAGGTCTGTGGATTTATTTCTGGACTCCCTATTCTATTGCATTGATCCATGTGTCTGTTTTTATGCCAATACCATGCTGTTTTGATGACTGTAGCTCTGTAGTATTGGTTGAGTTCTGGGAGGGTTATTCCTCCACCTTTGTTCTTTTTCTTCAATATTGCTTTGGCAACAGAATTGCCATTTTTAAAGACCAAAAAATGTTTACATATTAGCAGTTTCATCCTGTTTAGTCTAATAATTTTGTCTTTGAAATTATTTGGCTGCCAGTGCTGCATTTAATTTAGCATTAGCTACGATTTACCTGCAGTTACTACATATAGGCTGGGAATTTACGTAAAATGAGAACTTTTAACCTACAGATTATTATTAGGGGTGATGACACTTTAAATGTTCATGAATATGAAAGTGAATAATTGGTAGAGATGACTTAAGTTGGCATCTGTAGACTGCCCATTAAACATTTATTAACTAAGAGTTGCTCACTGTTTTTATTTTGGAGCTGTCGCATGTTGGCTCCAGGTGGCAGGCTTTGATGGGCGATTAGTGTGTAAGAGGTGTATTAGAGGAGCTACTGGTTTAGTGCCCATGAGAAGGGGAAAGAGCCACACTGGACGATGCAGAGGAGCTGGGCTGCAGAGCCGTCATAACTGGCTTCAGCAGCCCCATAGAGAGCTTGGAGCAAGTGTTGCCAAAACATGGCCTTTGTACCCCGCTTACCGAATTGAGACTTGAGGATAGAGTTTTGGATGAACTAGAAAAGGTAGCTTTGTGGTAGAGTATAGCTCAAGTGGCAGAGCATGCGCTTTGCATGCATGATGTCCTGGGTTCAATCCCCAGTAACTCCATTAAAAAAATAATTAAATAAGTAAACCTAATTACCCACCCCTCAAAAAGAAAAGGCAGTTCATTTCTTTGCCAGGCAAAGGAAGTCACAGTGGGCTAATGCCTGTAAGACAGTGAGCCTGCTGGGGAGAGAAGGTAGGGGGTTTTATAGTAAAAGTTCAAGGGATGGAGCTAGTTTCCATAAAGATCACATACAGGGTAACATATTGTTGTAAAGTTGTTCTTGTTTTAGCAGATTTTTTTTTTGCAGGTTTTGCAGTGGTCCCCTTCCCTCTGCTGGGTATGAAGTTCATTTCTGGCTTTGGGACTCTCTTAATGTTCTTGCACCTAGAATAAAAGATGCAAAGAAAGGGTTCTATAGAATCTAGAGAAAAATTTTGCAGTTTAAAGTCAAGTTGATAAACGCTTGTAGCCTTTTAAGCAGGCTGAGACCTGGGACCTCCTTGAGCAACAAGATACAAGGAAACCATAAGTGGTCAAGAAGAGGGCACTGGGGTCCGGAGCAAGGCACTGAGCATAATACCTGCACGCAGCACCAGCATCACGAGGGGGTTGGGCAGACCACCCAAGTCTCCCTCCACTCAAGTCTAACCATGATCAGCAAGAGCACGAGAAAAACTCTTTAAACCATTATACAGTTAAGCAGTTACAAACACCATTGCAGATATCAGATGGTCACTGATGACAGGAGGGTCCTGCTCAGTTACACAAGGACAGCCCTGTCCGGTTTAGGGCACCAGTTGCTGGACGCAGGCTGCCCTGAGAAGGAGCAGTCCAGAGAGGGCTGGCAGCTGAGGGCTTTAGCTAACAGCATTCCCAGTGGTTAGGGGAACAAATCCTGTGTTCATGATTTGGGGATCTGAGTGGCAAAGCACAGCATCCATGACAGTGCCAATTTTTTTAAGGTCTTCCAGTAGCACACTAGCCCTGGCCTGGGAGATACAGGGATCAGCCTGAGGCTTTAAATAGACTTTTAAAAGGCTTTTTTAGGGAGTCTTTTAAATAGACGTAAGAGGGAAAAGGAGAGTATTGGACGAGACTTGCCAGCAGAGGTCAAGGCAGAGAGAGCTCTGGACAGGGTCGGGAGTCCTGCCTGGTTGGAGCCTGCGTGGTCTGACCCATGAACCGAGGGGGTGATTCTGATGACCCCCATCTCTTCTTGCAGCCTAGCACTGGGTGGTGCTCTGAGTCTCACCCCAATGACCCCAAAGTGGAGCCAGTCAGAGTCACTAACTGATCCAGATTCGAATTAGGCAGTTTGTACATCTCCCGGTTCCTTGCTCAGACTCCTGGGGATCGGTGGGGCAGAGATGAAGATGAGACCCAAGCCAGGCCATCTTGTAAAGAATCACGTTTATTTCTCCTTCCTCTCGCTCATGTCTCTGAACAGGCGCATCTATGAATAGGACACTGCGATTCATTACTGAGCAGCAGGCAGCAGGTCACAGAGGGAAAAAAGAAAAGCAAGAGAGGAGCCAGGAATTAGAAAACCAGTGACTTAACCACACCCCCAGCTGTGTTCACTCGGGCAGCACGTGTACTCACGTTGGACAGCACAGAGAAGGTTAGCACGGTCCCTGTGCAAGGATGACACACAAACTCGTGAAGCATCCCATATTTTTTCAGGGATGATGAAAAGGTTCTGGAGGTGGATAGTGGTGAATGGTTGTACGAGAGTGGAAATACACTTAATGCCACAGAGCTGTGCACTTAGAATGGTTAAATGGTAAGTTTTAGGTTAGGAATATTTTGTCACAATTTATAAAAAACAAACAAACATGGCCCTAAGAGATGGAGGGTTGTAAAAAGGCGTCATAAAGTAGACGTCCTACAGTTACAGAGATGAGATCAGTTATAGCCAAAAGGAAAACAAATCTCAAAACCCAAATGCAGGCCACAATGTGCACACCATGGTGCAAGTACCAAGTAGTGGAAAGAGCCAACCTCGGTATCACTTGGGTTCAAAGCCTAATTCTGCCACTTCCTAGCTGTGTGACCTTGGATAAGAGCCTAACCTCTCTAAGCCTGTTTCTCATTTATTAAAAAAATGACAACACTGGACTCATGTGTCTGTTGGGAGAATTGGACAAGATATTACAGGCAAGGCAATCAGCACAGTAACTGGCTCCTAGCGGGCATTCACTAAAGTGTTTCCTTTCTGCAAGTGAAAAGTTGCAAATGTAATATATTGTGGGACACGGAAACTAACTTGTTTCCTGGCAGAGGCAGATCAGGTGTAGGAAGAACATGCTAAATTGCTGAAAAAGACTTAAAACTTATTATTCAGGGTGCTGGTCCAGATGTTGTAACTAAGAAACCGCCCAACAAAATGGTTGAAACACAATGGAAGCTCATCTTTCTCAAACTGATAGTCCAGGAGTGAGCTGTCTATGGCAAGGTACTTCTGTTTCTCAGCACAAGATTTCTATCTTTGGGTCCAAAATGTTTACTTTAGATGCTGACATCACCTAGGCAGTGGAAAGGGGGAAAAGGCCAGGGGCGGCACCCACGTTTCTTTTAAGGGCATGACTCAAATGGCACAGCTCATTTTTCCACGCAGGCCCCATTGACCAAACCCAGGCTAGAAAGGATGTTGGGAGAAGTAACCTCCAGCTGGAGTTCTGTTAAAGAAAGGAAGAGTGGATCTTGCTGAACTCCTAGTCATCTCAACCACACAACTCATATTTTCTCTAGTTTATAATCACAGGCTTTCAAAAACAAAAACGAAGCTAACACATTCCCCCAAATAGAACCACAGTTTCTTATTAATTCAATAAGTATTTCTATTTATTGCTATGTGCTAGGCGCTACTCAAAACATTGCATCCTGACCTCATGAAGCTTGAGTTTAGTAGCGGGAAAGAGTAAACAACAAAAATCAGAAAAACATTAGTACCAATAAGGGCAGAGATGAAAATTAAGGTGATGTGGGAAGGTGGCCACTCAGATGGGGTGGTTAGGGGCTTCCTCACTGAGGAGGTGATGTATAAGCTGAACCATTTGAAGAGCAAGAAGGAGAAAATGCCAGGAATGAGGAACTGTAGGTGCAAAGGTCCTGACAGGGGACAGATCTTGGAGGTGTGTGATACAGAAGGGCCACTGTGGCTGGATTTAGCAGGAGAGGGCAAGAGGGTATAAGACCGGAAAGGCAGACAGAAGCAGTTTGCTCTCCAGCATTTCCCAGCACTAAGCACAGTGTACGTGGGGTGGGCACCCCATGAGGGTTTGATGAAAGAGTGAGTGAAAGATAGAGATCTGAGGCTGTTGACAGCCAGCCTCTAATGCACAGCTCTCCTCTGCTTTCCTTAGGCAAAGACTAGATTGCCCTCTGCTCATCCTATGCACACTTCTTGGCTCCTGTCTCTCGATCTCAGAGCCTCTTTCTCCCTGCTGTTGCTCCCAGAGTCCTTGTAGCCTGATGACCTCTTATAAAAAATGGAGTTAGGGAAGGAATTTGGGAAGGAGACAGATACCCGAAGAAAATGGTCATGTCTTCTCTTTGGCTTTCTCTACTCCTTGCTAAACAGCTCTAGTTCTCTTAGTTTTTCTCCATGTGGTTTTCTGGACCTGGAATCAATCTGATCCCCTCCTAAAGTGTGCAGTTTGGGGAAGCATAGAAGCAAGTACCAGGGTTAAGGCTGTAGCTTTTGGAGCCAGAGTGCCTGAGCTTGAACCCTCATTTGGCCCCCTGTTACCTGGGCCACCCTGAGTAAAGTACTCAACCTCTCTGATCAGCAGTCTATAATATGTGGGCATACCTTTTTTTTTACTTTTATTTTTAAAAAATTTTTATTGAAGTATAGTCAGTTTACAATGTTTTGTCAATTTCTGGTGTGCAGCCCAATACTTCAATCATACATGAATATACATATATTCATCTTCATATTCTTTTTCATGATAAGCCACTGCAAGATATTGAATATATTTCCCTGTACTCTATAGTATAAACTTGTTTATGTATTTTATATATACCAGTCAGTATCTGCAAATCTCAAACTTCCAATTTATCCCTTCCCATCCCCTTCCCCCTGGTAACCACAAATTTGTTTTCTGTGTCTGTGAGTCTGTTTCTGTTTGGTAATAAGTTTGTTAGTCTTTCTTTCTTTTTTTTTTCTTTAGATTTCACATATGAGTGACATCATATGGTATTTTTCTTTCTCTTTCTGGCTTATTTCACTTAGAATGACATTCTCCAGGGCCATCCATGTTGCTGCAAATGGCATTTTGTTATTTTTATGGCTGAGTAGTATTCCATCATATAAATATACCACATCTTCTTTATCCAGTCATCTGTCGATGGACATTTAGGTTGTTTCCATGTCTTGACTATTGTAAATAGTGCTGTTATGAACATTGGGGTGCATGTATCTTTTTGAATTAGAGTTCCCTCCAGATGCATACCCAGGAGTGGGATTGTTGGATTGTATGATAAGTCAATTCTTATTTTTATTTTTTAAGGAAACTTCATACTGTTTTCCACCAAATTACATTCCTGCCAACAGTGTAGGAGGGTTCCCTTTTCTCCACACCTTCTTCAGCATTTATCATTTGTGGACTTTTGAATGATGGCCATTCTGACTGGTGTGAGGTGAAACCTCATTGTAGTTTTGATTTACATTTGTCTGATAATTAGCGACACTGAGCCTTTTTTCATGTGTCTATTGGCCATTTGTGGGCCATACTTTTTAAAACCTGAAAAATTCAGAATTTCAAAAACACTGGGCCCCAAGAATTACAGATAATGGACTTTTACCCATTTACTCTCCTTCTTAAAGTATGACAAATAGAATGAATGCAAGACTTTGGTTGTGGCCAATGTACCAGCTGAAAATATAATAGGGAGTGATGATGTCAAGAGTGTCTTGATACCATCAGGTCAGCCCCACAACTCAAATTTCACCCTCCTATGTGAGGTGGCAAAAAGATACAGCTAGGCAGATTTGCAAGGCCCCCTGAGAGGTGCTTTCAGGGGAGTCCCACAATGCTCTGGCCTTGGCCATTCCCCAGCTAATGGTTTCAGAGATGACTTCTGATAAGCGAGGACTCCTGGCTGTAAGCACCAGAAACCTACATGAGCTAGCCCAAGCCAAAGGGTTCTCAAGGAACACAAGGCCCTGAGGCAACTGGACCTTAGGGATGTTCTGGAATCAGGGATAAAAGCCCCGTGGACACTTAAGGGTTCCCTCACTCCTTGTCTCTTTTTCCTGCTTCTCTGCAAGTCTACTTTATCCATCTAATTGGCTTTTTCTACCTTCTAACCTGCTTGGTACAGATGGCCATTACCAGCAGCTCCTGCACCGTATTTCCTCCAATTATGAGCACAGCCTGACTGGAGTTGAACTTCTAAGTCCAGATTCCCCAGGAGGGGGACATTGGCTTGTCCAGTGGGCTAGGAAGGTGTGTTGAAGAGAGACAGCCCCTCAGTGCCCACGCTGTGCCTGGCTTCCCTCCACAGGCCTGCGTCTGATCATCCAAACAAGGACTCCCCCTGGTGCCCTTTTGTACAGGTGATGCTGCACCCTTTCTTGAGCATCCACTCCTGAGCTGCTTTCACTGCGGCTCTGCCTCGTTCCTCCTGCTGAGAGACAAAAGCAGGAGAAGCCCAGTCCCAGGGAGACCATAGGCGGGAGAGCCCCTCTCCTTCACTCTGACTTGGCAGACAAATCCATGCCTTACTCACCAGGGTTCCACTTAACTGCTGCCCCTTTAAATATGGAATTATCTAGTACTTGCCATGTTTACTGGGTGGGACAGAAATCAGAGGTCTGCTTGAGCCCTCTTGGTGAAGTTATTTTCTTCTTTACTTTTGGAGGACTTTTGGGGAGGGGACCAACCCAAATGCCTTCTGACTTGGGAGGACAAGCCACTTAAAAACTCTGGGCTCCTGTTCTCGGTGTGTGAGACTGAAGGTAAGTAGCCCAGTGCTGTCTTTTCATACAAATGTAGAGGAGAAGAAAGAGATGCCTCCAACCTTGAGCATTTACCTGGGGATGTGGAAGTTTATTCTGAGCTGAACTCCCTGAGATCTTGTGCAGATATATGTTGCAGTCACTGGTTCCTTCTTGGCATTTGAGCTAATGTAGAATCCTTTCCTCTCCAGCCCTCCCAGTCCTATGGCCTGACCAACTGGGGATGGATCAGCAATGCAATGTGTCTGCAGACAGCAGATGTGTCTAGTCCTCCTAGGTGTGGCCTCCCTAATGTACCTTTGGTCTGATTCCCCAGGGAGTTCCCCCTCTACCCCAACACACTCCCTCAATTGCCACGCCAGCAAAACACAGCTAACTCGTCTAAGGTATCACACTTAAGATGCATGCAGTCAGCATGCAGTTATTTAATGGCCGTCTTTGCCATTTTGGTACAAGTTTCTTGGTGGAAAGAGGTGTGGTCTTGAAATCAGGAAGCCTGGGTTTTAGTTCATGGTTCTACCTCTGTGAAAATTTGAGCAAGTCACTCACTTTTCCTGGATTTTGATTTTCTTGTTGTGCAATGAGTTGTACTCAGTGACCTCTGTGATAAGTTCCTGCTCTGACTAGCTTTTGAGCTTCACAATTTCAGAACGCTCCAGACCTTTACCGGAAAGTATGTGTCCAGGAAAGGTGCAACTCAGAAGAGCCAGTTCT